CTCTCTCTCTCTCTCTCTCTCTCTCTCTCTCTCTCTCTCTCTCTCTCTCTCTCTCTCTCTCTCTCTCTCTCGTCGTTGTCTTCCTTGCAGGTACGCGGCACCTCCTTCCGCAGCACAGCTATGGCAGACTCTTCTTCTTCGGCGCACTTCTGTTATGGCGCGTGGAACAGCGGGAACCAGCTCTGATACCAATGCAATCAGACTCGCTTTCAACTGGCTATGGCGCCTGAGCGCTCACACATCTTCTGTCCGACACTGTATCCCACGCACACAAACTCAATACCGAACACACACTCACACTGAACTCTATCTCTAAGCTACAGCGGCCATGGCCGCTCTACTACTACCGGCTATGGACGAACTATCTCCCTTCAGCCCACTTCAACCTCGGGCTTCTGCAGACCACCTCGCACAAGACGCCTGGCAGCGCTTCCGCATGGCTCACGCAGGAATGAATGAATGGCTGGAATCTGCCTCTTGATTTATACTTCTGTAAGTCGCTGGTCTGCCCTTTTCCACCAGGCCCATTGTGCACACAGTCCCTCATGGTACTTGCTGACTGTACAAAGTGAGACTGGGACTGGGTACCGCTGACTAAGCGAAGTTGGACTCACCACTTGCCCGCTTGCCTCTGGTCTACTGTGAGTAACATGAGAAAAACTCGAAAGGCCACTTCCGGACCTTCCGGAAGTCTGTGGACTTGGCCTTTCGGGACTGTAGCAGCTACGACCTTGACCTTTCAGGGCTGTAGCAGCTACGACCTTGACCTTTCAGAATTGCTACAGCTACGGCCTATACACAACTATGACCCCTAGTCGACAGATCTACAGATCGAACCCCTACAGCTACACAGACCTACGACAGGCAACAGTCAACTACCGAAACACAGGTCACGGGTTCAAACACACAGGGGTCGACTCGATACTGTACACGGGTGTGGTAAGGTCTAGGGATCGAGCCCTGGGATCTGCATCTGCTACTGCTAAGGTGAAAACCGTTTCAACTTTCAACGCTAGACACCCCACCGGCAAGCCTCAGATGTTAAAAACAACAAACACATCACAATCATCACATCCTTCTATTTTATGGAAGAAGGAACCCCTGAACAGCATTGATTGCTCCTAGGGGAAGGAGGATTGAGATGGCAGGTAAGATGTCCTTCCCTCTTGGATTCCTCTCAGTCAGACTTGAGTGAGAAGCTGGAACCTTTCTAGATGCAGTCAGTCATGATTCTGGTGAAGCCTTATTGCGCACAGTCGTATCCCCTCGCTTGTGCCATTTGATCTTGTGTTCTTCTTCTCCTCTGCCTTTGACCTCCCTCCTCTCTTGGCCTCCGTACGTCTCTAATCCTGCTGTGATGGTTGTGGGTTGCGACTCTTCTCTGCCGAGCTACGCCATCTGTTCCCTTTCAGATCGTCGTTATCGATATGTATGCAATTTTTCCTTGGGAGGATCCACCTTTTGGTGAAGCCGGCTTTTCCGTTGTCAAACTTGTCCGGTGTCACGGTGTGCCCTTACTGTTTCCGGCTACCATCTGATCTGCGTTTCAATCAGATCCTTCGTCACCCATATGCTGCTTCTCTCTTCACACTAGCCTGTTGAAGGCCTTGGAGCATGTTTGTGTCCAGATTACCAAAGTGGATCTTTCTGATCATACTCCTTATGGGCTGTCCGAAGTGCTAAGGTCTAGGAGAACTCAGGTCATGAAACACTGTAGCAGATCTTCCGGTTTACACTGTTAAAGTACTGTGTTTTGGACCTTTTGGGAAAAAAAAAAAAAAAAAAAACACTTAAAAAAAGACAGATGTTTTCTGGTTGAAAGGAAGGGTATGAACCCCATCCCCATTTGTGCCCTAGCGAAAACAAAGTATGCAGTTGGCAGATACTTACAATCTGCCTTCACTTCTGTGAGAGAGTTCGAGTCTGAGTGCCATTTGGATTACACAGCTTGAATGAGGGCTTAGGGTTCGCTAGACGTCGAGCTCGTCACTCCGCCTGAGCTCATATTGACAGACTCGTCTGGCACCTGATGGTAAGATCATAAGATGTGTGGTAATGGGGAAATAGTCTCAAGCAGGGGTGAGGGGAGGTCTATCCTTCCTAATGGAAGTAATCAATACCACCCACTCCGACCTCCCAGCCATAATGGGCAGGAGCCTGTGTGAGTCCCATTTGTATCTTGTCTGACTTGCCCGTGGAAAAGGAACTGGACTGCTGCTCCTCAGAATAGGAGGAGCCTTGTCTTATTAAGGAAAAAAAAAAAAAAAAAAGTCTCAAGCACACGTGGACTGATCAGGCTTTTGGGGTTTCACATTTGTGAGGTGTTTCACATTACAGTGTCACCAGCAAATCATCAGGAATAGTATAGTCACTATAGTGTATGGATGACTGTCCCTTAAAATTCCTTGCTTACCTGTGCCTCTTGTTTCCGTGTGACTGCATACCTCTCCGCTCCTTTCTCCACCTCTCTGAACTTCATGTTCTCGACAAGATCCTTTGTTTGTGCAAGCTTGCGTTGTTCAAACCGTATGGCCTTCTCCTCAAGCCTCAATCTTTCCTTTTCTGCAAACTGCGCGACTCTCTTCTTTTGTAGCCTGGTTACATTGACAGAGAACAGGCCTAGCTCAGTTGGTACGCCCATGAACTGTAGAAATACAGAACTGTTGAAATAAAGACCTCAGCTCGAACTTCAGTAGACGCAGACGTGTAAAATACTACAATTTTTCTGAATTGCCAAAGGGCTGGTCAGTCTGATGATGATGATTTCTCAAAGCCGTCACCCTCTAAACAAAAAAGAGAATATGAGAGGGGAGGAATCCTCAGATAAGAGGGACATCAGGCCAGTCATTGGAACCCATGGACACCCTTTTTGCTGCAAACAAGCATCCTTCCCCTCGCAACAACGATGAGAGCTTCCTTGACTTCTATGGTTCAATGCCCACCACCACAAATCACACATAAGGAGCAAGAACCAAAGTCAACAGACAAGACATAAATAGTATGATAATACACTTCTCTATAATCAATAAAAAACAAAGGGAGCTGTAATATTAAGCCAACATTGTTGGCTGTGCAATCAGACTCGTTCTCAAACACACTTTTCATGCATGTAAATAGCAACGCAGCATACTGGCGACATGTGCCCACTCCAAACTCAGAGATATGGCTTTCAGATACGAGTTCACTCTCAATTGGCTATGGCGACTTCAGCGCCCAAACATCTCGCTGTTCACATACACTGGATCACCCTGGATATCCCACACGCATCACTCTAGCACTCGAACACACACACACACTCGCTACTAACTACAGCTATGGCAGCTATTGCTACATCTAACCTATCGCTATGCTAACTCCCTCTCTCTTGCCCACTGCGTCCCCCGGGCTCATCTGCAGACCTCCTTGCACAAGTCGCTGTGGCAGCGCTTCCGCATGGCTCACGCAGGAATGAATAATGGCTGGGCGCTGCCTCTTGATTTATACTTCAGAAACTCGTTGGTCTGGCCTTTGCCATCGGCCCTTGGTGCTCACAGTCCCCCCCCGTGGTACTTGCTGGACCGGACTGGGACTGACTGGACCTTTCGCTGACTGACTGTGGACTCACCGCTATCCTACCGACGTTGTACTGCTGTTGCACTGCAGTTTAGTCCACCACTTGCCTCGCCACTTGCCCACTTGCCCACTTGCCTACCTTCTAGAAGGTCTACAGCTAAGCTTCCGGAACTCACTAAGACTTCTACGCTATAGACCTACAGATCGAACCCCTGCTGCCTATGGACCTACGACAGACCTACCAACTGTCTRCGAATACACAGGTCRCAGGTTCAATTCTCGGGATCTATACAGATACTGTACATAGGTAGGGTGAGGTCTAGGGATCGAACCCTGGGTACTGCATTCGCTACTGCTAAAAGGTGAAAACCGTTTCAGCTGTCTTTTATGTGTGTTTGTACATCTGTCAGGGGGAGGGGATGGACGCCAGCATGGGCTTGACTGACAGTTGATCCTTCCCGACCGGGAAGTAATCAATGCTGTCAGGGTTCCCTGGGTCGTAAAACGCGGGGAAGCTAGCTGTCGAGTTGTATTCTTTTGTTTTTTGCCGGAACCGGACTGCTGCTCCCCAGAATAGAAGGAGCCATGTTTCTTTCAAAAAAAAAAAAAAAAAAAAAAAGCCCAGCAGTGTGACAGGAAAGGCGAAAAGATGAAGCACACTTCACGAAGAAGAAGAATAGCACATTACGTGAGGCTTTACACTCGGGGAGGAGACAACGTGTAACATAAAAACACCAGCATCCTACTGGATGCTACAGCATCGCCCTTCTGTCTCCTCCACTCAGGCTAGAAAAGGCCAAGGCGGCATGGAAGGCTGCAACAGTGCAAAGGTAAGTACGACAAAAACTCTGCAGACAATGTTGCAATAAGCCATGCCATATGTCTCGTGGAAGCTGAGGGTCGTCTGAGGGCCTACTTGGCCGCCCTCAGCCCAGGCCGAAACAGGGGAAAAAGACCCCACACAAATTCAGAGCCTGGGCGTGTGACAGTTGAAGTCAACTGTCGGTCCACTCAACAGTCAAAGTCCAAATGTACCTAGCCCAGGCCGCTGGTCAAGCACACACACTTGTTCGTATGCAGGTACCCAGACAGCATCAGGTCCAATGGAGAAGTCTGCAACTGTACAATTCGGGCCTTCAGATGTGAGCCAATCTGGACAACTGTGGGGGAAAGCACCGAGGCCAGACAGCCTCGACAACTGCTACTTGAGGCTGGCCTTGAGTGAATCAAGCATTCAGTCTTGTATGCTGCTTTGACGCTAGCTCGACTTTGACTAGGTGCTGGCTTCATGCTGGCACGACGCTGGCTACACGCTGGCTGTGCTCAGGCGTTGCGGACGACGGCACAAGGAGGAGGCAGCATGCTGGCGCTTCCTGCATTATGCGCCAGGTTTGCTGAGGTGGCATGCTGATGTGGCGCTACCTATGGTCTACATTGCATACTGATGTGGCGCTACCTCTGGTTTACATTGCATGTTGATGTGGCGCTACCTCTGGTCTACATTGCATGCTGATGTGGCGCTACCTCTGGTCTACATTGCATGTTGATGTGGCGCTACCTCTGGTCTACATTGCATGCTGATGTGGCGCTACCTCTGGTCTACATTGCATGCTGATGTGGCGCTACCTCTGGTCTACATTGCATGCTGATGTGGTGCTACCTCTGGTCTACATTGCATGCTGATGTGGCGCTGCCTCTGGTCTTCACTAATGATGTGGCATATGCCACCTATCTCAACTGCTGACGTGGCACTGTCCACGCTGTCTACATGAGGTGACTGGTTGCGTGGAGGAGGAAGATCGGGATCTGTGGATGAAGGAAATCGGATACTCACCTGAGATTGATGCCGTCACTGGAATCTGCTATGTCTTCATGGTCTTCACGAGTTTGAGTGCCACGTGGCACTATTGGTGTGAACATGAATTTACTTATTATCATTGTTGACGTGGAGAGGGAAGAAGCCCGGAGAAGGAGAGGGGTCTGAAGGGATTATTACTGTGTGATCTTTCAACTTCTCCTTTGTCTGATCCCCCTTCACTCTTTTCTTTTGATGATAATGAGATTTGAGACGTCACTTCACGATTTGGAGACTTTGATGCAGATAATGAAACTACTGATGTTTGATGACTTCTGAGTATCTGCCAGACTGGGTTCATTACAATGTGGTCAGGTACGACAAAAACTCTACAGCATTGATTCCCAGAGAAACAGGAAGTGGAGTCAATGCTAGAAAAGGTTGAGGCTCCACACGGGCCTCCCAACCATAATGGGGAGGAGCGTGTGTGAGTATCAGTTGTATGCCCTTTTGACTTGCCGGTGGAATAGGAACCAGGCTGACGCTCCCCAGAATGAACAAGGAGCCAGAACCTTAAGGTTCTGTTTGTTTGTTTGTTTGTTTGTTTGTTTGTTTKTTTTTTTTTTTTTTTTTTTTTTCAACAAACAGGTCCTTATGGGCCTGGCTCCTTTTCCATTCTGGGAAGCATCAGTCCGGTTCCTATTCCCCCGGCAAGTCAGAATAAAATATTACATCATGAAACACACTCACACTTCCTTCCATATGGCTGAAGGACCCCTGACCAGCATTGATTGCTCCCTTGAGGGTTAAGGTTCTGTTTTTACTTGAGGAAAAAAAAAGGAAAAAATAAAGGCCAAGGCAGCATGGAATGCTGCAAAGGTAAGTGTGACAACATATGCATCTAGATTCTAGACTCTAGAGCATAATAATATCATATTCATTTGGAATGTAGACGGATCACACTGAGCGGGCAAGCCAAATGCATATGCTCTCAGTGAACAGTATACCGGAATCTTTCAACGTCAACATGGGGTTAACCAGAAGACACAGGAATCACACTGAGCAAAATACGAGAAAGCAAGGTACTTACAAGCGTCACCCAGGAAATCTACGTGGTAGGGACGAAGGAGCTTGAAGAATGCCATATGAAAAAGAGAGAAGAAGGAAAGTAGCTAGCCCCTTACCAGTCTTGCTCTAGATGCATACGCATACCCCATAGAGTACAGAGGGCAAATATAGGACCGGCCAGAAAGGGCCTAAGGTCTAGTAAGACTTAGTACAAAAGAAGGAAAGAAAGTAGCCCCTTACCAGTCCGGATCTGGATGCATACGCATATCAGACAGCAAACAATCGCCGAGAGGAGCAGCTAAAAGATGTAACCCCATAGAGTACAGAGGGAAAATATAGGACCGGCCAGAAAGGGCCTAAGGGCCTACGGTCTATTACATCCTTCCTATGGGAATTAATCAATGCCGCCCGCTTGGGTTTCCCAACCATAATGGGGAGAAGCGTTAAATGTGTGTACATGATGTATTTCCCTTGACTTGCCGGTGGAATAGGAACCGATTGATGTTTCCCAGAATGGATATGGAGCCAGAACTGTAAGGTTCTGTTTTTCTAAGAAAAAATGAAAAAGGAAGTGGAGTCAATGCCTTGCAAATGCTGCTGGATTGATTATAGAGAAGTGGAAATCACTGCTAGATTGGTTCACTCAACTACGGCCAGGCTATTTCTTCGTCTCTTTCCTGGGTTCTGTGCACGTTTGAACTCTGGAAAGGCGATCTCCAAGGGGAGCGCAGAGTCTCATTCTGAGTCTCTGCACCCCCCTCCCCTGCCTCTGTCTCACCTCCTCCGCTGGGAACAGCCTTTGTTAGTACCCACCGCAGCTGAGGTATCAGTCATGGTTTCCAGGTGCAGTTCGGTCCTGATAGTGCTCATACTCCCAGTGATCATACACTGAGGTGCCTCTTCCTGGGTGGTGGATATGGTCACCTAGGATTGAAGTGAACGAAGGCAGATTACCCAATCAGGGACAGGAGGCGAAACGACATCTCATAACACCATCCTCAGGAGGCAGTTTTCTGCAGACTTTAGAGTTCGAACTCCCAGTCAGCCGCAGAGTGCTGGCCCGCAGTGAAAGGGAATGGTTTCCTGTGAAGGTGAATTGGGGATCTGAAAGCGACCAGACTACCAGTGGTCCTCAGGAGGTGGTTTAGTTTCAGACTTTCAACTTTCAAGTCTCCACCGGTGCTGAGTGAGTGAAAGTTTGACAGACAAGCTATAACCTTCAGGCTTGGCCCAAGATCCATTTTGCAATTTTTGTCTTCTTTGTTGTCAGCGGCCCGTGGCCCAAGATTGATGTTGGGAGGCGTATACTTTGCGGTTTCGCCGTATTTAGTATTTACGAGTCTTCTCGTATTCCTACTGATCTATGTCATATAGCATAACTTAGATAACTAGTAATTACCCATCAACTTAGTCTCCTGCTGAGAGCACCCCTATTCATCTTTGTACGTCAGGGCAAGGTTTGGTGTTGCAGTGGGAGTTGCAGACGGAGAGAGTTCACGTGCTTTTCACCTACGTTTCTTGATCCGCTGCTTACCAGTACACAAGATCTGAAGATACTGGAAAGTTGAAAACTTGTTAAGTTATTCAGCTATTAACTTATCACTGTTATCACTGTTATATCAAAAATTACAGAATCTCTATACTTCAAATCTAGGCTACCAGCCGGGCCGCCCGGGTCACCCTATTTTCCCGGACGGCCCGACCGTGTAAGGACCAGGGAAGGTCCTAGGAAAAAAAAAAAAAAAAAAAAAAATGTTTAAAAATGTTAAAAGTTAAATAAAAATTTAATAAAAATAAAAAAATCCAAAAAAACACCAGGTGAAACGGTTTTCACGTTTGCAGTAGCAGACGCAGATCCCAGGGCTCGATCCCTAGACCTTGCCCTCACCCGTGCACAGTACCAAGTCGACTCCTGTGTGTTTGAACCCGTGACCTGTGTCTTGGTAGTTGTCTGTTGTCTGTCGTAGGGTTGTGTAGTGGTCGGGTTTTGAACTGTAGGTCTGTCAAGTAGGGGTCGTAGCTGTGTAGAAGTCGTAGCTGCTACAGTCCTAAAAGGTCAAGGTCGTAGCTGCTACAGTCCCGAAAGGCCAAGTCTACAGACTTCCGGAAGGTCCGGAAGTGGCTTTTCGAGAATTGCTCAGGTTAGGCTAGAGGCAAGTAGGCAAGTGGCCAGTCCAACCTTGTCTAGTCAGCGGTACCCAGTCCCAGTCGCACCTTGTCCAGTCAGCAAGTACCATGTGGGACTGTGTGCACCCTAGGCCCGGTGGAAAAGAGCAGACCAGCGACCAACCGAAGTATAAATCAAGAGGCAGCATCCAGTTATTCATTCATTCAGACTGCGAGTCGTGCGGAAGCGCTCCCTAAGGGACTTGTCCAAGGAGGTCTGCAGGTGCCCGAGGGAGAAGTGGGCTGTAAGGGAGATGAAGCGGCCATAGCCGCTAGTTAGTGGTAGAGGTAGAACGCAGCCATAGCTGCTGTAGGTTAGAGATAGACTATAGCGTGTATGTGTGTGAGTATTCAACGAAGTGTGTGCGTTTGTGGGACATCCAGGGAGATCCCGAGCAGCGTGTGTGGGAACAGTTGCTGGGAATACAGTGTCGGAAGGTTATTGTCAGGGCGCACAGGCGCCATAGCCATTCGAAGCAAGCTGAACCTGAACTGTGTTCTTGGTCACGATATCCCTGAGCTTTGTGTGGGCACCTGGCGCCAGTGTGATTGCCATCTGTTTTCATGCATTCTGAGTAAGGAAGAAGACGAGTCCGATTTCACTATGTTATGCAGAAAAATAAACTGAACAACTTTTGCCTCAGGGTCACATCGAAATTCTTTGCCAAATTAAAAAATAATAGTAAACTAAGTAAAGTTAAAAATTAATTTCTATTGTTTTATTTTTTTACTTTTTTTTGGCCCGGCCGGGCAAGTGACCCCGGGCCACTCTGGTTACCTAGCTTCAAATAATATTTGCGTATTACAGAATTTGTGTATTTGGCTGGGTCCGCTGGGATACCTTTCAAGGTGCTCAGGCTGCCTCTGACTGCCTGGAATGCCCTAGGACAAGCTCTCCGGCAAGGTCCTCGCCAGGTCCCGGGCAGCACCATCGCAAAAAAAACAAAACAAAAAAACAAAAAGTTTTAAAAAACTTAAAAAAAATAAAAAATTCCAGGGAACCATTCTTCTTTGTGTGTAGAATTGGAATGCAAACATTGCCAAACAACTTTTGGCTGAGGGTCACCTAAGAAATCAGTGAATCGAAGACAAACAGAAAAGGAAAAAAGAAGGCCAAACTGAGGCACAACGCCTTTTCCCTAGCTGCCTGCAACGAATGAAAAGTCACGAGTGGGCGACAGGCAAGACTATCTGGGAGTGGAGTGGGAGAGAGGCATATTGAGGTGCGTAGAGGAGCAAGGCGCAGATCTTTGTGAAAACCCTCATGAGTAAGATTATTACCCTTGAGGTAGAGTCATCCCATCCACATCAAGAATGTGAAGACGAAGATTCAAGATAGAAGGGTATCCCTCCCGATCAGATGAACTCAAATCATAATGTAATTGGAGCTTTACTTGTCAGTGTTGTCACAGATCAATTACACACAGAGTGGGTGTAGTAACACCTGCCCGTACAGCCCTTCTGCTCATCTGCTCAAGCTGCGGCGGAACAATACCATCTGCGATTTAAATACTTCCCCGTGCTCGACTTGCCTTTTAGGCATAGAAAATAAATAAATAAATCATAAATATTAAATAAGTTAAAATAAGTTTAAATAACTAGTATAGTAATAATTTAATAAATGGAAAATGAAAAATGAAAACTGCTGACTAAGCAGAGAAGCATGAAAACGTTTCAGTGACATCCTCCAGTTGTGTTCTAGAAGAACCACTACCGAGGCCATCACGCCTTCGTGGCAAACTGCTGAAGTCATCAAGTTTGTCCAGTATCCCACCCGCGCCGATCAGCAAAGGTTGATTTTCGTGGGGAAGCAGCTTGAGGATGGACACACTCTTGAGGATTACGACATTCAGAAGGAGCTGAATCTGCATCTTGTGTTAGGACTTCGCGGAGGAGTGACGCATAGAGAGAAGAAGACCTACGTGAAGCCGAAAAAGATGAAGCACAACAAGAAGAAACTCAAGTTTCCTACCTTGCAGCTGTATAAGGTAGATGATGCAGGGAAGGTCACTCGTCTGCAGAAGCAGTTTCTTAATCCGGAATGTGGACCGGAAACTTTCATGTCTAAGTTAGGCTAACCATTCTGATTGGCACTACTGCCACAAGTGCGGTCTTACGTACGTGCACCAGAAGACCTCTCAGGATTGAGGCTGGCTGCCGTAAAGATCTTTTCGTTCTTTGTGAGAGAATCAATGGAACTAGGGGCAGGCAGGGCCAACAGGCTATGCTCCAAACGGTTCGGTTGAATGGGGCGAGTAGATGGCTTTCTGGGGTGTTTACTGCAAGCAGCAGCTTAGACGCTGTTCAATGAGCATTAATGAAGTGAAAGACTGATTCAGTTTTAGGGGTTCGAGCTATCGACTAAGTATCCATCTCGAGAGTGAATCTGGAGAAAGTGGATCCCATGCTTGTGGCCTGGATGTCCTCTTGAGGCCAACCTTTCTGACAATTTTTCAATCATGGCCGAGATTTACCAAGTCCACGAACATGCCATGTTTGTTCGTCAAAAAAAGGGAAGAAGGAAAAAAAAAACAAAGAAGAAGAAGAAGAAGAAGAAGAAGAAGAAGAAGAAGAAGAAGAAGAAGAAGAAGAAAAGGCATGTTAAAGTTTAAACCCCATTTATATGCCAAGCAACACTTACTTGTCATATAATTCCAACATGCTCTCCTCTCGATCAAGTTGTTTCTTTTGCTTCTTCTCTTGCAATTCCCTTTGGACTGCCTCCCTCTTGATTATTCGCCGGACGTGGGCTTTATCTCTTATGTGGCTGAGCTCATTTGCCTTCAACCGCAAAAAGTTCTCCCTCTGCAGCACACCTCAACACAACAAAATATAGACTCTGCTGAGGATAGAGAGAATACATGTGCAGGATAGAGTGAGTGGTTTGGTCCTCCCTCACGCTCAGGAGAACATGGGAAGCCACAGATCACCTCCAATCATCATCTATTACAACAGACATATCATTAAGTATGTGCCATGGATCTTAGCTTGATTCTGAAAGCAGTATGGGTGCATTCTTCGCATTGTGTATTGCTCGGATTTCAATCCCTATGGAGGGAGTCCCACCAGTTGATGGTATAGTGGGTCAGCATACTCAAGATACAACTGAGCCTCTGCCAAATAGATTAACAAAGAAAGCAAAACCAGCCATCCACAGTTATTCCAAACAAAGAAATAAACATGCATGATCTTATCCAGCTATACACGACTCCATAAATCCAAAAATTGAGCCCTCTTCCTCAAACCAGCTCTTGCCCTGGGCCTCTTTTGCCAAACCTAGGTTTCATCCCAAGGTCCGTGTGATAACCCCATGGCCAGCCATTTAGCGAAGGTAGCAGCCCCCTTGTCAACAGATCTCAGAAGGCCGTCAGAGACAGTAGTTGAAATAGTCATACAGCTTGGAATTCAAGATCTAATGATTCTAATCACTGAACGGCATCCAAAGTTTGATTGGCTTTGCAATACCAGTTGCCGTTTTTCTTCCTTCTTTTTCTCTCTTTTCCATTCCCCCCACCTTTATTCTTTGTTTTTCGCCCTGCTGTTTCATGTGCCCAGCATCACCACATATCACCAGAGCATTCAATGTCAAGCTTCCCAAAAACATAAATTATGTACGTACATAATGGTACATTAGTAATGAGATGGAAATGAAGATCAAAGGTACGTGATGGTGGGATGAATAGCATAGTGAGAATAGGCCTGGATGGTGTTCTATTTTCCACCTTCCTCCAATCAGATCGCACCCCAGCATACCATCACTGAGTCAAGAGTTCAAACTCTGCTATGTATACAGTCACGTACATGACCATTTTCTCTCATGAAACAAAGAAAATGTAGGCAGTGATGGGGAAGTCATGGGACACACTAATTCATAACTGAAGAAAAAAGATTCCCAAAGAATCGGGCTGGGCCTAAGAGATTTCATAAGAGAGAAGAATCAGCAGATGGAGTATTGACAACTAATTTTTTTAAGTTTTAATCCATGGATAAAGGACACAAGGAGGGTAAACCGCTGGCGCTCGCAAGAAAAGAATGGGGACACTGACTGGTTAGAGAAAGGGGTGTGGCACGTTCAACATCTCGGGACAATTAAATAAATGACAAGAAAACTTGAAAAGAGCTGAGGTGCTAACTAAAAGGATGTCATAACCCGCCTTTGGGACATCCGTTAAAATTTGAACAATACAGAGAAGATTAGCATGGCCCTTGTGTGCAAGGATGACACACGCATAAATCGAGAAATGGTCCAATTTTTTTGAAAAAAAGAAAGGATGTCATAAGAGTCTGATAAGACTCATAGCCTACAAACGAATCTGGCTCAGATCATGAAAAGATACCTTTCGAATGGAGGTGTCCACTATTTTTTGGCAATGGGGTGACTCGGCGGCAAGAAAAGACTCGGATACATCACAAGGAGTTCTAAACTTTATCGGGTATGCCAATCAGGCACAAAATGTGGGCACTACTCTGCTTTATTCACCCTCTCTTAGAGGAGGAAGCATTAACAGGGAGCTCACAAAGGACCATAGACCATAAGCAGTGTTCATAACGTCCAACCTAAGGAGAATCAGAGTTTTAGAAGGGGGACAAAACTGAGTCCGCTGGCGAGATGTAGAAGTCAAACTGCTAGAAATAGATCCCCCCCAGTGGCCGTGGAGGTTGCAGGCGCCAGATTCCATAGCAGGAGGCAATGTGAACTAGTAGAACACTCATCCAAGTTGGCTTACAAATTCAACTTCAAGCCACAACCTGCCACCAAAACAATACCAAAAGGCTGGAGAAAGGAGGTCCCGGATAAGCTCCCGTGGGAACAAATCACGAGGACACAAGCTATGAAAGTAGCTAGCCTTCTTTGGCTGATCCTTTAACAAGCAGTACTGGTTAGTGACTGGCTCAACTATGGACAGTGAAAAGGAAAACAGAGAGCAGAGCAAGCAGCATGGTGTAAGGTATGCAGCATGCAGGCAACACAAATACACTGCTTTTGAGCTGCAAGTAAGCCAAGCAGTTACGGCAAGAGCTAGAAACAAAATGGTCCAAGATCTCAGACAGAGCACTTACCAAAGTTACCATGAGCCCAGAAATATTCTTATTGGAAGTGACCCAAATCCTTTTTTTTTTTCCCCTAAGCAAACGGACCACGACTTCGGTTGTGTTCAAGGGATCGTGGTACAGCGGCATTTATTGCTTTCTGTTCAAGGGATCGTGGTACATCGGCGTTTATTGCTTTCTAGGACGAAAGGATTTACCCATGCTTTCCTAGGACGTCGCAAAAGCGGCCCCACGGCAGTGCTCCTTTCATCCATACCAGGCTGCCGGATTTCCTCGTGCATTCCAAGCGCTTTAAACCACCAGTCCATCCAAAGCTAAATTGACGAACCAAGAAATGCATTTTGCCGAGCCTGCATTCGATCGGTACCACAAAATGGCTAATCTAAGGTGGTAACGGTACCATCAATGTGTGTGACAAAAAAGACAGGCAGGCAGGCAGGCCTCATCATTGTGGCACTTCCTTTTTTATTGTAGAGGGCCCACCAGCCCACCCCCACCGAACCTCCACCACGCTTGGGCATTGTAGATTTTGGCCTGGCACTCGTCAATGAGTAAAATCTACAGTGCCCATGTCATTGGACCGGTGGTTTAAAATCACCCTTTGACCAATTCATCTTCAAGACTTCAAGCTGCTCAGGACAGAAACAGTACGGGTTTTATGGAAAAAACAACGTCAAATCACTAGGCACCCCACCAGGGAGCCTGCTAATAGACATAAAGCAGGCAGTAGAAATGAGGGGGCTTTTGAGAAGTTGATCCTGCACTGTTGCATCAGTAGTGGCATTGGTACAGTCCTTCAACGGGACGATTGCACTGGACTGCAACCTGCTGAATTCACAACTTGTCATCGGAATGCGTGGCTGCATATGTCCGTGTGCAATATGCATGTCTGAGTCTCAGACAAGGACCAGAAAGCAATAGGTGGGAACTTTTGGGGTAAGCCTGCAATTTGGCACAGCGTATGGACGAGTGCACAATTTTCGAAGTTAAGGGGACATAACCAAAATTCATGGTACGACTGGAGGGCAGTACGCCTGGATTAGACAGTAGTCCTGTAGCTATCCAGTACCGCACAAACCTGGACATAGTTAGGGTGAGATTCATTCGCTGTCTGGGGTAATTTGCAGACTGAGCTGAAAGGTCGTCAATTTCCCACGGAAATGGACAGCGGTACGCCCTGGGGTTGGCCGGCGAAGTGCCCTGGAGGCCAGATACCAAACAAGCAAGCATAGGTGACAGAAGCACAGGTGAAGCAGCACAAGTGATCATTATTGCTCTTCGTGATTGCTGCCAGGCTGCTGATTGAGGTAGTGGCCCGGGGATGAGGGAGCTGGTGTGAAGGAGGAGCTCAGAGTGAGTGCAGCTATGGCGGATAGCGTCCTGGCGATGGAAGAGGCCAGATAGGGTATGATGGTGCACGTCTTCCAACCCAAAGAGAGAGGGAGGCCCTGTGGAGGGCACCTGCAAGCAAGCAAAGCAAATTGTTAGTGCTTGAACACGCAGCAGACACCAAGTGAGGATCTTGGAAGGAGAAAAGCGTGCTTACTTTCTTCAAGAGGACTTTTTCATCGTAGAAGCTAGGTTTGGGTGTTGCTTGACCTCCTGAGGAAGGAGAGAGAGTGACAAGAGGTTCTTGACTGAAGAGAGAGTGCTCTTGTATGCTTCTTGTTGGGGATTGGGAGAGGAGGACAAACAGGAAGGATAGAGTGGAGAAACAGGACAACAAATGTAGACACAGAAGATCAGTGAACAGCAGGAATGATATACACACAATTTTCTTTGTTGTAGCATTGTCCTCCTGGCTGCCACGTGCAAAGCTGTAGTGGGTGTTGTAAATATACTGTCTACTTAAAGAAAGTTTTGGCAGAGCCCTGCGTGAATTACTGTCTTTTGAGCTGCCACTACAGGTGCTGCCACTGCCACAGCACAAGCAACCACGATGACAATAACGAGAACAAGACTGAACATGCAAGTTGATGTTACTGCCAGGATGACTGGAACTTGCCTCTATTTTTTTGGCACTGATGGTCCTTCTTTGTGCCTCCTCCCATTCCTTTTGCTTGTCCCTTCCGATGGCTAGCCTTTCCCTGACCTCTGCGAGTGGCATCTCCACAAGCAGTCCGTAGCCAGCCGTCGTGTACGGGTCAAAAAGCTTCGCAGGATCAGGAAAAGGAACTGCATCAATGGCCTACAAATATTCGCAACAAAGGTGTCAGTCTGTCAGAAGCGCCAGTCCGTCTGCAAGTTGAAACATTCAGTGGTGGCATTCCACAGCAGGGTGAAACAGTATAAAGCCTTACTGGCATCCTCCCAACAGGCCTTATTAATAATTGCATACGTTTTTCAGACTTTTTCTCCTATTTCCTTTTGATCAACAAACGATTTCTATCGCATTCCCCTTATCCAGTGCACTTGATCTTAGGACTGACTTAGGTCTGCAAGTTTTGCTTTCTGGGCACATGCAGGGGCTGATTTAGGTTCCTGTCACCCCAATTTGGAAGATTCCTGAATAGCTACAACAATAAAACATTTCAGGACCAACAGGCCTAGCTCAGTTGGTACACCCATGTAGATTACTGAGCCATGCTTTAGGGCTTCAGGCCCCGCCGCGCACGCACGACCTCGAACCGGCACCCTCAGCCACAGGAACCGAGTCTCTTAACCACTACAGCCCCAACATGGTGTTCAAAAATGGAATCACACCGGTCGTGATATCCACCCCGCCCCTGCAGGGCTGTAGTGTCCAACGCACACACAACACACACAACACCACATGGACACGACAATCCATGCACAGTCAGTTTCAACGACACCCATGAAATGTTGAAGTACAGACCTGAGCAGGGTTGCATACCTGCCGACCGCCGACCCCAACCGCGGACTGTATTGCAGCCAACCAGTAGGGTCGACCGGTCGGCGGTCTGCCGACCAATCAGAAAACAACCATGCACTGATTTTTTTTCAAATCTGAGTTGGGGGCTGTACTGCGCTTGCTGAGTACAGCCCAAATCTGCTGAGAAACTTTCGGGATTGGGGGGGGTATGGGGGGGTTGGAGAG